ACCTGTTTAAAAAATCATCTTAAGTAAGAGAAGTATGTATCACCATATGTATGCCAAACGAAAGGGGTTTCAGAAAGTATTTTGAAAATATTTTTAAGAGTGTTGCCACCTGCTAGAAATATCGAATTTAGTTTACTTATACACAAGTTACACCAAATATCAAAATTTTTAGTTTGAACTCGTAAGAATATTTTTGAATTGTTGGAAGAGGATCGCCACCTGTTTAAAAAGTTAAATGCGAAATATTTTATAAGTTAAATGAATTATGAATTAAAATATGGGTATCAATTGAAGGGCGTTTGGAAATTTTTTATTTTTGAACTGTATTTAGCGGGGTTGTTTGAAAATTAAAATTCCACTTAATTCATCAATTAATTAAAAAAATATGTATCTACGATACGTCCGGCGAAGGAGAGTTAACAATGATTAAGCTTGAAAGTACTTTTGAAGAGGGCTGCCACCGTTTTGAAAGGTCTAAATCAATTAACTAATTCAAAAAGTTAATGAAATATAAAGACACCGCAGTCAAACGTAAGAATGCTAAGAAATCTTTAGTTTGAACATTTCGAATGTTTCAAGTGGGTTGCCACGTGTTTAAAAAGTTAAAGTCAAATTATTCAGTAAGTTCGACGAATTATTAAAAGATGGGTTCAAATTGAAATGGGTTTGAAAGTGATTTATTCCTGACCTTTCTTTAGAAAATTTTAGTTTGAGAATACTTTTGAAAAGGAATTTCAGGAAGGAAAGGAAAGTTTTATTTTTTTTTAATTAAGAACTTGCACTATGCAAGACTGCTCTTCAATCTGAAGAGAAACCGAGTTTTCCGTTTGAAAAATATTGATTGTCAAGAATTCTATACCATTTCTACGAAAAGTGTTTTATCCCATATAAAGTGCATGGCATATTTTCAGCGCTTTGAGCGATCTCTAAATATTATTTGATTTCAAAATAAAAAAGCAGGGGTCTATTTTTTCGGCATAGAACATTACTAGGGCGTGAGTGCATAAAAATTCCGACATTACTTTTTCACATGCATTTTTGGACCACCCTAGTGTACATAATTCCTTCGTAAAAAAGCTGCTCACAACAGTAGCTTGCTCTTCGTTTTTACTATTTTGCTGTCATCCAATTATCATCGGCTTTTGGCACTTTTTGTTGCTCAAAAATGGCTATCACGCTGATGAAATTACCACAACAATTAGCGCGTTAGGATACTTATCTCTGACATTGGAAATCGTAATGCAAAACTAGTTAAGTTTATTAAATTTCGATTGATCTGATTTTGATTGCCCTTGCGGTTGTGCGGGTAAGTTTGTTGGCGCGTGGATTGCACCTGACCAACCAACCGATTGCGGTGCTGCTTTGTCTGCAAGTGACGCAATAAATGGCTAAATTATGTGGTATACAAGGATATGTATACATATGTATGTATGTATGTATGTATATATTTATGAGTAGTGTATGAGGAGAAAACCGCAGCTATGTTATAATTTATTTGTATTTGATTTAGTAAAATTAAGGTTAACCATTTGCTCAATGATCTCACTACAGCGTCAAAAATTTACATCTGAACTGCATTAAGGAGGCCGCTAACCTCGCGCAAGCAACCAATGACGAGTTCTACAAAATTCCTAAATTCGCCAAAATGGTTTCTTGAATTCTTTATTTACTGCTTTTATTAGCCAACCAGTTCTACCTAAGCTAATCTACTCTTATTCAATTTATTTATAGAATTTTTTTTTTTGCTAAATTTAGTTACTTATATTATATTGGCATATTTTCACTATTTTACCAGCGTTCATAAAAATTGAAACAAAGTCCTTAAATAAACATACATAAATACATACATATGTACATATATTGGTGTTAACGTCATACTTAAATTTATGCAAATTAATATGCGATACATTTGCAAAATTTTCCCCGAAAATTCTAACACATATTTATGGGTTAAAATCTATAAGCGTTCGTCAATATTTTGTGCATTGATTAGCATAATTATGAGCTGTGAAAATTATTGCAAATATCAACTTGCAACTTTAAATTTTTATTTGAAATCACTCAAATGTGTAACTAAATCAGTGAAATTATTTTGTAACACATTGAGTTCAAATCAAATTCAATATTTATTTACACAAATGAAATTCGCATAAGATTTTTTCGTAGTATTTTTCCATATAATAACACACACATACATATGTACATATATATGTATGTATGCACTTAAAGGAATATACAGAAATATAAATTGAATGCAAATATGTATAAAGGGAATCTATAATAGTAGTGGTATAGGATATATGTATGAATGTAACCAGTACCTATTTTATTTAATTGCAGTATGCATTTGTGGAAATAAAATTATTTATGTATTACTCACGAAAATATGCCCGAAAATGGATTTTATATTTGATAAAAGCCAGTTGAATGAAATTGTAATTGCCAAAAGTGCAAAATATTCGGATTAAAGTTTAGAATTTTTAGACAAGCAGTGAAAAAAAGAATATTTAAGCTATGACGAGACTCTGTCCAGGCCCACGATATGAGGGTCACACAGAAATCTGAAGCGCATTCATCCGAGTACCGGAAATAAGCGCAATAAATGCTTAGTGAGTTCGCGTTAGTTGTGTCAAGCAGACTGTTTCCGTTACATATCGAACTCCCATCAAACCAACTGAGGTGGCGTCTTTCTGCCACTATATATGCACATAAGACTGTCCCAAGAATATAACAAAAAAATTGTTTGCAAATATTTAGCATATATATGAAGTTTTATGGCCGTAGGATAATGATAACCCGTGCCGAATTTGAGTTGAAGTTTAAGGTAATAAGTTGAATTAGGGCTACTAAATCTGCCATGAAAACATTAGAAATGAGAAAAATTCGATAAAATTTCCATATTTGAACCCATTTCTAGCAAATCTGCATCTTTACATTTTTATTAGGATGACATGATTTCTCCCAAGCACATCAAAAAAAGTGCTGGAAATTACTGGAAAAAGTACATTAAGGGTACTCATATATACGCGCAAGTTTCATATTTGGGCAATTGGGCAACTTTGCGCCATGTGTTTCATGAGGACAATTTTATATTTTATGCAATTTCTGACATTTAATTATTTCACTTTACTTAATTGACTTTTAATTGAACAAATATTTATGTTTTACCGCAGTTATTTCGAAAAAGCGTTGAGCACAAACCAAAATGATTGTAAACAAATTAGCTGATTGAGGATTGCACAGCACAATGCGCAAAGTTGCGCTACAAAATTGCCGCGCAAAGGTTTCCTTTTTGTGCAAATGGCTTTCCATACAAATTTTGACATTTCATTTGCGAGGGTTTAAAATTGCACAGTTTGCCCAGTTTGCGAGAGTTTTGCGCTGTTAAATGAGCACCCTTATTGGCTTTGTAAGTGTGCGAGACGATATGTTTTCTAGCCGAATAATCTGGGCATATCTAGTCTGACGAGCGCATGATCAACATTAAATTATTCCTCCTTAAAAAAAAAAAAAAGTCATTCATAATATTAAATAAACAAATTAAAGTGTTTTAGTGTTTGACATGTCCTCTCGGGGGTTGATTAGGAAACAAATGTGGAAGTATTAATTAAAAAATTTGAAAAATGTCCTTTGAAATTTGTATACTTTAATATCCTTATATATATTCATAGGCTTTAAATTAAACTAGGGTTCTTCAAAATTCAAAAATGCTGAATTAATTTCAAAATTAAAAATGCTGAAGGATGATATTTGTAAAGGTAATTTTTTACATGTTCCAAAAAAATTATAATTAATCGTGTTTCGCATTTTTATCTCAATTAAAACTCATATATCCATATTTTGTGTACAATTTTGGAAATGTATTAAAATTTCTGGTCCTTTGGAAAAAATCCTGACTACCAAGTAAAAAAATGGAAAACGCAGACCTACTAAATATTACGTCCGAATACAGTAGGGATTATAGTAATATCGTCTTATACAGAAGTAAGACGAGTAAAAAGCTTATTCTTATAACTTTGACTGCAAGTCGGCACGGGTTAAGGTGGTCCGAATTGCATACAATTTTATGCGGATAGTTTTTAAGACAAAGCCAATAAAAATGAGAGGGTATGCGTTAAAAAAAAATACGCTTTCGTTTTTTGGGACAGTTTAATGTACATATGTATATCCAGCCTACTTATAATCACACTAAGGGTAACATGCAAACTAGCGCTGTTCGACTTGTTTCCAGAAGAGTTTAGAGTTGAGAACTTAATCCCCATATGCACCCCTCTTTCAATTGATTACGATATGTATACGCGTGAATTAGCTCTCGCTTGAGAGTCAAGTTTGTAGGTTTTTACTGATAATCGTCAGTTAATTGCCGAATGTGAGTGAACTTTCCACTACGAAATAGACCTGTATATTTTGAATCCTTTCGTGAGCAGCACTAGTTTAGATATGTAGAGATAAAGCCGAAGTATGTTCCACAAAAGATAGGATAACTGAACCTCACCTGATTGAGACCCAATTTCCGTGAACTTTTCATTAACTGTGTACTTGTTCTAATTTACTTCATACAGAGCAGGGCAAGTTATGGAAGCGCTGAATTCTATACAAATCCAGACTCTCGAAAACTAACTAAACTAAAATCTACTTCTCGTAGACGCTCACTAAAAACTACAGACAAGACGTAAGCAAGTTAGGCAAAACATTCTAGATAACTTCAAGCGGAAGAGGATGCACGGTCTTCAGAACTTAACCTAGCTCTACTGCAACATACAGCGACAACTTTACTATCGATCAAAGATTAGGAAGAACATTTCACGTGGACATGGCTTACTTAGCGGGATTTTTTATCGCTTTAATTGAGCCTCACTAAAGTATGCGTGACTAATGTTATGAACCAAAATACAAAAATAAAAAAAATTTTAAAAGAGATTCTTTTTTCTTGAAAGCTCTAAAATTAACACCTGGCGGTGAATTGTAGTTAAAATAAAATAAAAAAGAAATTTACTTACCACTGGTAACATTTTTAGGAATCCCAGCAGAAAAATTATCATTATACTAGACGTGGAGACGCAAAATTGCATTTTTAAAAATGTGATTGCACATTTGCGATTAAACCAAATCGGAAGAAGTATGAGAAACGCCGAACAGGACTGCAGCAGACCACAGGCGCAGCTGATGATCACAAAGAGTGGACGTTGAGTGGGCGAGATGGGTTGAGACTGGAAAGAAAAAGGTTTCAAAATTAGTATTTAATAGAAAATTCTTAGCCTTAGTGAATGAAATGATATACAAGCTGAGGGTATATAATATGATGCACTCCCTACTGAAGATTTCCCAAATTTTCCGCTTCTTTCACATTTATTCTTGGCATTATTTTACTTTGTTTGATTTTATTTTATTTTCATCATTCCCAATTCGAGATAGCTTTGTGCTTTATTTAATAATTCAGTTTCGGCTTTTGTTTATAAAATAAAATGTTCGGCTTATCGTTTTTCGTTATTGTATCTTTTTCAAGCTGTATATTTTGTCAAGTTCACTATTGTTGTTGCTACTTAAAAATTCATAAAACAAATACAAGTCAAAGTAGGTAGCGGGAGTCGAAATTTAAGGAAGCGGAAATAAGCATTAAAATTTATGAGATTTCTTTCCGGCTACTGCCAAGGCTAAAGACTGAAAAGTGAAAGTGAATGAAGGCCAACTAACTCAGCCAACCAACGAGCTGAGCCGTTAGTCCGCTTAACCCAGCTAAGCGAGTTGTGGTGTACAGCTGAGTTTACATGCAAGTAATTTTCAGTGAGTTGAATAGTTGAGCAGCTTGAATTTTTTTTTCTTTTTTTTTTTTGAGGATAGAGAGTAACTGAACTGTGCTAAGCGGCATTGGGAAGTGTTAGTGTGCGGGTGGAAAGCGAAAGGGCTGCTTCTTTTTAGGTTGTTTTGCTGGGGAAAAGTGGAAGTCCCTATCTAAAAAAAAAAAGAACCTTTAATGCGTCTATGGTAGCATGACTTTAGAGAGCCCAACATTACGTGCTTGGCTTTGCTTGCTGCAAAAGGCTGCTCCAGAGCACTTCATGGGCAAATGTGTGTTGCTGGAACGGAAGTATGTATTGTATAGCTGAAGATGTAACACACATACATACATATACATGATTTCCATTAGAGTACATAAATCATAAATTATGGCAACGACGAAAGGATTTTATGATTTCACTTTTCAGTTTTTTATTTATTTTATGCAGCTACATAACGGTAACAATAAAAACAGTAATGCGGTGTTGCGTTTGAAAAATTTGTAGGTTAAAGGCTGATGTTTAGCTTTTGGCGAGGAGTTTGATGCTTTCTATAAAGAATGAACTTAGTACATACATTTTTGGTAATTTAAAAGCTGTACATAAATTTGTGTTAAAAAAAAAAAATCAAGTTTTTAAGTGACCAAACAAATGAGTCTAGTTTTTAAAATTGCAATAAATGTAAGACCAGTTTAATTTGGCTCCCTCTTGCGTGTTTTTGATCTTTCTCCTATTTAGTGGACGAATAAGTGGATCTGAATCCAGAAGTTGTTTTCAAGAGTAAAGTTTTCTCTTTAACAACCAAAACTACGTGTTTTTTTTATTATGAATGTTTATGTTTAAATATCTACCTTTTCAGCATGTTCTTAAAAAATTAAATTGAGTAACTTTTACTAACACACATACCAAGTATGTGTATGTATGAACATGGCAACCACTTTGTGGTACTTTAGCTTGCACACAAAGAGTCTAGGTAAAAGAATTGTGGCTAAGAGCAAAAGTAACAACCGGAAGATACCAGGAAGCAGCTGGGCTGTTGTAAAAAGTGCTGTGTGGCTGCAAGAGCGAAGCAGTGCACCACAAGCCCGTTGTTATATTACCATAATTTCAGCTCACGCTTTCTTTCTTTGGTTTTTACCGTTTTTTTTTTATTTGCTTTTAGGTCTGCCTTACCTTCACCTTTAACCTCAAATTTTTTGCATTTATCCTTTCCTCTCTTCACATTTGCTGTTTCGCTACGCATATGCCCTGTCTATGGCGTAGTGAGCTGCATATATACATACATATGTATGTGCATACATACATACCCTGCAGAAAAAATTACCAATTGATTAAAATAATCAACTTCTAGTTAGCTTTTTGCGGGAGCTCGATAAGTAACTAACTTTTAATTAGCTATGACAAAACTAACTTTAAGTTAGTTGTAAAGTCGTTGAAAGTCATGCAGACGTTGTCGGGAGTTTATTTTCTTTACAATTTTCTATTTAAATATCCTCACAAAAATTACTTAACTTCACACAAATATTTTGTTTTCCTAATTGATATTTTATGTCCAAAAGTAGTTAGGTACATACATATGTATTAGTTGACATCTAATGGAGAGGAAACCAGTTCTCACTAGTTTGCGGCCATCGCCCTTCAATAGTAGTTAGTTACGGCCAAAGGAAATAATTAATAAATAGTTACCACTAGTCGAATGCTAGTTAGTTAATAATTTGCTAAAAACTAGTCCCATTTCCTGCAGGGTACATATACATATTGGTAGGTTTCTATGCATATATGTTTTAAGTCAGCGTAAGTGGCTTTTTTAAGCCATTATTAGGCCGCCTCTATACTTTACTAAAAAAAAAAGAATTTTTTTTCTGGTAATTAGAAAACTTGAAAATCGGAAGAAGAAATGAAAATGAAAATTTCAGGGACTGAAAATAATCGTTACTTTTTTATTTATATTTTTATGGTAATTTTAATCGTTCTTTTATGATTTACATTTCTTCGATTAAAAATAATCGTACTCTATGATTTTTTCCGATAATTTTTAATCGTTATTTTAAAAATTCTTATTTTTCGTTCATATTATAACGTTTATTTTCAAACATAATTTTTTAGATCATAACAGATTTTAATCTCTTATAAAAATGCACTCACTGTTATAACGGTTAAATATTATAGAAAAAATAAAAATCTAAAATAACGATTATTTGTGATCGAAAATATTAAAAACACAAAATAACGATTAGAGATGATCGAAAAAAATAAAAATCATAAAAAAACTATAAAATTATGATTTTTATCATAAAAATCTTAAAGGTTACGCTCAATCTACATTCTTTAATTTTCCCTTGTTTACAAAAATAAGCTACCATTTCTCAAGCACGGAAACCTTTTTTTTTCATCAATGTACATACATACAAACATACAAAAATAAATAGCACATTCAATTACATACTTACATTGTTATTACGTTTCGTAAGCATGACAACGTAGGTGCCAGACAATGGACAAATACAGCGCGTAATATTCGCCATCAGGTGCTTGGTCATGCACAAATCAGAACGCCAAGTGGACTCAAAGGAGGCCTTGTAGTCATGACTGTAAATGCAAATTCGAGAGAAATTTCAATAAAACTTAATGCAAGACAAAAAAGGGGGAAAAAATGGAGGAAAATATTTATAAAGATTGTAAAATAAAGCGTGGAGAGGTAATAACGGAATAAATGAATTTATAACTTATGAACTTTTCGCTTTGGGAGATAACTTTATTTCTGTCACAAGCGCAATATATTTACTGAAAATATTGTCATCCTTTTTCTAGATGCATGCAGATGCATGTATGGAATTTGGAAAATTTTACTTTTGCTATTGTATTTGAAATAAAAAAAATTACTCAAGAACTTCGAGGATTTCCGACCTCAGAATTGATAGACATAGATAAAATATTCTGGGAAAAATATATTTAAGAAATCGATTTTGTAAGTTTTGTTGCGAAGCTGCCTGGTGTGCCAAAAATGCGCGCTTATCTTAAAAGTGCGTTTTAAAAACTGAATTGATACATAAATCAAACTTTTTTCAACCGATTCGCTTTCAAAAATTATCCATATCATTAAAAATTAATTGCCATAGTCTTAAAAAATTACACACTTTCTTTTCTCTAAAATGGAGTGATTTCTTTCAGATTAACGCTTCATATATGTACATACATATTTAAATATTTATGAACTTTTTATTTTACAAAACTATTGACTGAAAATTTTTGAAAATTAAATTCCACTGCTTCTCTTAATACTCGTATCTTTAATGCCCTTTACTTACCCACATACTGCCACCCAATCGCCATCCTTTGGTGCTGCTTCATGTTGAAATATGATCTCAACATGCCCCGCTTCGAAAGGTAAATCGAGTGGTTCACGTAGATTATCGTTTGAACGATTCGACTGAAAAAGCCAAGTTTGCAAAATGCGCGAGGCCAAAATGTAGTCAGACTCTTTGGGGTCGCTGTGAAAATGAAGAAATGAAGAAAGTATTTTAGAAATTGAAGTGGCCAACGAAAATAAAATATGAGTATGTACAAATCTATAATCTCTGACAGCTCAATAGAAATAAAATACAGCTGTAGAGTTTTCTTGAAATCATTGCAGACACTTAAAAAGTTTAAAATGAGAATTGAGCATAAAACGTTCGCCACGAGAAAAATTTCTTTTTGTAAACTTTTAGATATGAAATAATATATTATTTTCTGCTATCGATTTACATACATATATGATGAAATTTAAAAAATCACCGGAAAGTTTCATAAAAAAATCATTAACCTGTTTAAGTTAAAATTGTCGTTATTCTTAAGGCATCACTACAACTCGTGCTGATGATTTAAAATCCACATAAAAGCCTTCTGTATGAATAGGTGTTAGTGTATTTTTTAAATTTTTTGCCACAAAATTGTATTGCGATACTTTCTGATAACCTCGCCATTAGGTGGCAGACACGCAGTAAGTATTTGCTCAATATTAAAATTTGTACAGCTTAATGCGGACGAATTTATGTGATTAATTGAATATTTTCATAACAACTTGTTGCATGAAACGATAAATGGATTGTGTACAATCAGAGGCCTGCATAAAGTCATTCTAAAATCCGTATTTTTTGTCGAATTGCAAAACTGGTGTTTCAAATGAGTGATTTTTTATTTTAGGCACCAACAAATTAATAACAGGACGCCTGGTGGTTTTTATCGTCTACGTTCGTGCTTTTGTTAACTTTTCGTAATTGTTATAATTTTTTTTTTTGTTCATTTTAGGAACCTCGCAAATATGATGGAAGAAAAGCGAATGGAAAAAGTGCAAAAACAGAATGCAATTTTTGCAGAAAGCAGTAGCGAGTTTTTGATTTTACGGACGCAATATCAAACGGATTGTGTGTAACTTGGCGCAGACATTGGCGGTGACGGTGATGCAAAGGACTTGTCCCTATCAAAAAATATCGGTCTTACAAGAAAAGTTGTGAGAGCCAAAGTTGTAGGAAATTTGATTTTCTTCAAGTCTGACCCTACATATTTATGCCGTAGATTTGAACGAGATATTATGCGATGTTTTGAGATTACCGCTTGCTTCAAGTTTATTTAGAAAACTATCAATCTTAGAGGAAAAATTATGAGGACCAAACTTGTATAAAATTGAATTTGCTAAAACTTTTGTTCTTATGATTTTTCTTAAAAATTAAAAATGGCCAAGATATTCAATGAAGACAATTTTTTTGAAAAAAAAAAAAAACAAAATTCGGACATGCACAATCGCTGCCATTTACACGGTGACTGAATTCCCCCGAGGGCATAAGGTCAAAATTGTATAATGACTGGACAAGGAGGGCGACTTTCAAACGCTGCAGCAGCCATGTCCACCACTGTTTGGAAAATGCAGCAGTGGTTTTTCTTATACAGAATTTGATGCTCTTTCATATGAGCATTGGTTTTTTGAGGACCTCGATGATACTCGAAACCTACAGGCGAGGCGTCGCTTATCTCGCTGCAGCAACTGATACGGCTTATCAGGGGGGCTTGCAGCACTACCTATTCGTATTGCCCAATCCCTCCCTGTATCGAGGAACAATCAGAATACGGGACTCCTGACATACTCGAATCAGCAGGCCCATTTCGTGTTCCCCCATGCATGGCGTCACCAAATATATGTATGTATAGCCTCTGGGGCCCCTACTCTACTCGGTTTAGTTTGATGGGCTCTCCTACTAGTTATGTTCCTTCACTTTTCTGTACTTATGGAGTTTTTTCGAATTTTTTGGCGGGTGTCCGCCTTAACGGAACCTTTCGGAGTTATTTTGGCAAAGAATTTGCGCACGTTACCTTTGCTCTTAATGAATGCGTAAAATATAAAAACAATGAAAATACTTTGAAGCAATACGCAGACCTCTAATACATAACTATATATACGTATATCTCCAAGAAGCCAAATAATAAAACACCTATCACATTCCCTACTGCATCAGGCGAGAGTATTTTTCTTGTTATGCAATTTTGTGCATAAGCTTTGCGTAATAAACTTTGCTTTACACAGCTACACAAATTCAACGTCCATGGATGTACTATATGTTTGTATGTACATACATACATACATTTGCGAATAGAAAAAAATTAAAATTGAGGGTATTCTCAGAGTCTTGCAAAGCCGTTGCACGAAAATCGGCGTTTACCGTGCAATCTGTGCACCGTGCAAGGACTTTGTAAGACTCACGAGAATACCCCTATTGTTAATACACACATAGCTACATAGGTGCATTTAACAGTTGGAAATGTTCTGATCGTGTGCTTGCTTGTCTGCGCATCTGCCTGATGAAATGCCAGGAATAAAAACGCGTTTTGGCAAATTATATTGACAACGATTTGCTACAAAATCTACCGAAAAATAATTGTAGACATTTTGCATGCTGACATCACAAGTACCAGCAATAAAAGCACAAACAGCGATGCTTTGCATAAAACATACTATGAAAATTTTTGGATTTGTTCATTTCATTTCGCTTGATTTGATATGTCTGTGGAACTGATTGATTGATTTGCTGATTGGCTGTTTGGCTGCCTGGTTGGTTGATTACATTTACTGATTAGCTTTAATTTGGTGGCATAAAACTGGCTTTCATTTAACGAAAATAATAGAATTTTGGTTTTTGATTTTGATAAATAATTTTGACGTTAACAGAAGCTAGTTTAAGTATGTGTACCTAGGTGAAGATATATTTGGCAGCAGATTACGGTATTTTTTTTTTTGGGACTTTAAGTTTCTTTAAATCAAAAGCTGTACAATGTTTATCCAAAGCGAAAGAATATGGGCCGTGCTGTAATAATAATGTTTCATGTACGAGACGGAGATAGAAAGCCTTGTCAATGTAACTGCCCACTCGCTGAAGAAATCACCCAATCCTTAGAGTAGCTTAGTCAGATATATCTGATTGATGTATTCAATGAATCTTGCTTATAATATGTGTATATTTGTATATATGGGGCGTTCCATACCAAACGGACGGGGTTCACATATCATGTCTTTTCATAGAGAATTTTGATGTGTGCATGTATGATTTTTTAAATTTTTTTCTTCGCCCCGTTCTCTAGATATTTGGAAAACTGCAAAATTGATTCGTTTTTGTTTTTGTGCTGTAAAGTTTTTAAAATTGTATTAATCAAGCTCAAATTTCATATTTATTTATTATTTATGTTTATGAATCAATTTTAAAAATTTGAAACAAATCAAACACATGAACGCCGTCCGTTTTGGTGTGGAACGCCCCACATACATATACTACTCAAACTGATTGGCTTCTTTTACATTGACGGTCGAGGCGCTTACAACCCGTGTCAAAGTTATAAACGCGCCATATATTGACAAGTTTTAACAAGTTATTTTTT